TACTAGTTCTATTATCTCTAATAGCATATAGTACAATACCCCCATTATTTCTCGTTTTAAATGGAAATCGTGTCTCGAAGAAATCAGTATCAATGGATTCTATTTAGTACGAGTATTCCATTTATAGAATCAATATGCCTTACTATTGGCCGCATATCCAACTAAAACACATTCATATGCTCGACTAGCCAACTTAATCCTCTTAGGATCCGGAATTCTTTCGTAGGCCAAACAGACCCACGTTCTTAAATAGAACAAATTAGGTGGCTCATTCTTTAAGATATCATAGGGTGATTCTTTTCTATTTTCTATTGGAAGACGATTTAGCACATAGCAAACCGGTAACAAAATATCACCCAACCAAGAAGAAGAAGCCGTAGAATTGAGCATAATAGCCACAACTAATTCTGTAAACGACCTATTTTTCCACTCAGCTTTACCATTCATTTCTGTTGAATATGGTGTCGTGGTTTCATGAATGATACCATGTGAGCTATAGAATTCATTGAAGGTATTAGAGTCATACTCTGATCCTCTATCACTCCTAAGTCTTTTTATCTTTCGGTTGCACTGATTTTTAAATTCAACCACAAATACCTTGAACATATCAAGGGCTTCACTTTTTTCATCAAATAAACAAAGTAATAATCAGAGCAATCATCTATGAAAGTGATAAAGTATCTCTTGCCATACCTAGTTAACGTCCCATCTAGTTCACAAATATCAGAATGAATCAAATCTAAGAATTCTGATTCTCTACTCACAAATTTATGGGGCGTTTTCGTTATCTTAGCTTTGCTACAGAAATCACATTTATCAAATTTATTCATTGAGAGTTTAGGGATATGTCCTAGCTTGCTTAAATTCTTCACAATTCGTGTGATCACATGACAAAGACGAGCATGCTAAACATTCAAATCACACAGCATGTAAACTGAAGAATTCATTTTATTAATTTCAACATTCAACTTGAACATCCCATTACATGCATATCTCTTTCCCACAAAACTCACATTCTTAGTAAGGATATACAAGTATGCCCCAATAGATTGATTAAACCCAGCCTTATTAAGAAGATATCCTGAAACAAGATTTTTCCTTATCTCTGAAGTGTGCAACACATCCTTGAGCACCATCTTCTTCCCAGAGGTGAAGTTCAGCTCCACTTCACCAGAACCAACAACCATAGTGGTGTGGGTAGTCCCCAGGAGAATTTTCTTGTCAGCAGGTGCTTCTGTGTATGTTTTAAACATAGCACGATTATTGCATACATGCTTCGATGCACCTGTGTCCAACCACCATCCTTGTGAGTCACCGGTGAGGTTGACTTCAGCGATCATATCCGTGATCATGGCTACCAGCTCCTCTTCTGTCAAGTTAACCCTGGCCGCAGCAGTAGGGATAGGCTTGTTCCTACACTTTTTTGCCATATGACCTTGTTTACCGCAGTTATAGGAGATCAACGGTGGGTCATTCTTAGAGGTTTGGGCCATGACCTTTTGGTTACCTCGAGAGTCACCATTCTAGTGGGGGCGGACCTGCTGGTTCTTACTCTTGAAACCTTTCTGGTTAGGTTTAAGAGCTCTAGGGGTGGGTCATGTAGCAGTGTCGACCATCACCTCTTCTTTCATATCCTGCTTGTGGGACTCTTCCGTAATCCTTAGGCGAGTAATCAAGTTTTCCAGTGAAAATTCTTTAGTTTTATGTCTAAGCATATTCTTAAAATCTTTCCACGAAGGGGGCAGCTTATCAATAATGCAAGCAACTTGAAATTGATCGTTCAGAGGCATACCTTTAGAGACGATCTCATGAGCTATTTTCTGAAGTTCGTGGGATTGAACTTCGACGGACTTGTCATCCACCATCTGGTACGTAGGTAGCGACTGATAGCATACTTCTTAGCTTGAGCCTCCTCCGTGTCGTACTTCTTTTTGGAGCGCATCCCAAACCATCATTGTGGTGTTCTTGTTGTCTGCATAGTAGTCATAAAGATCGTCTTCCAGGACGTCGAGGATGTAGTTCTTGCGCATGAAGTCATGCTCCCTTTCCTTAGCAGAAGAAACCCTCTCCTCATCGGTCACTTCTTCCAGTAGATCTACGGGCATGCTGGTGAGGCAGTGTGCCAACTTCTTGGTCATTAGGTAGAACTCCATCTTTAGTCTCCAGCGACGGAAGTTGACTCCCACGAAGCGGAAGGGTCGATTGATATTAACAGCACCAGATCCGTCCATGTTGTTCTGTTTAGTCGACATAGCAGCAGCCGAGCATCATAAAATTGTTAGGAACGGAACAACAACAAGAATAAGGTTACCGAATCTGGAGCTGAGTCGCGGACTAGGTCTCTTTCTTTAAGACGTTCGCGGCACTACTCTCGACGCGCACGACCGACTATCAACCGGTCGTCTCCAGTATAAAACAGCTCCTCTCTATACTCGCGTATTGTGGTGTGTTTAGAGAGTCTGGGGAGGCGGCTATTTATAGTAGCCGAACCCCTAAGAATATAGCCTCTTACTTGGGGAATAAATCGGATATAATAGTCTCAAGTCAACCGACCAACCGATTGGACGGAAGGACAGCGCGTGCATGTGTGTGGTGGTCCGTTAGGTCCTCCCTCTCCCATAAAAGTCGGTCACCCCAAGGGCATGCCCTTAGGAGAGAGGCTCCTGTCTTTATACACATTTCACCAAGTAAAACTACCAACGTGGTAGTTTTTCCACCTTGAGACTCTATAGCTTTCAAAGCTATTCATTTCCAACATCTTTCTTCGCCCTCAGGAAGCTCTCCATGGGGTCATCTTCCTCGTCATCCCTATGCTTAATCACCTTTTCCTTAGGCTTCGGTGGGGGCGCTGCTTTCATCTCTTCGTGTATACCTTCCATGAAAGCAACGGTGGAGCTACTTGTAGAGGAGGGGGGTGCTTGCACCCTCCTTCAGTTTGGAAAAAAAATCTCTAAGTAGGGTATATAAGAATTCGGACTAGTGACCATTAATAAGGAGATTTCATAAAGCACCATAGTAGATGTATTAAGCATCGCCAATGACTAGATCTGGTATTGCTATCCCACAGAGCTAAGCATATTGCCACCATATATAGAGTGCATGCAAGCCTCCAATGATTTGTTTTAGGTGATCAATCAATCTTTCATTTGTTAGTCAGTTGACAGGTAGCATCATTAAAAGACTCAAACTAAACATATACATTTTAAACCATTTCATAGAAGCAATACCTTATCACCTTTTGGTTTACCATCCCACATTTTTTCCTTATAGGCTTCCCGTTATCAAAATATAGCCATTTAGACCATCCATTATCACATTATCGCCCTTAGGCTCCTGGATCTGGAAAAGGATTCTTAAATGCCGAGTGGTAGCAAGGCCTTATATCTCACACTTGAGTGGCGGCTTGGCATGGATGGGGAAGTAATGACTTCCTATTCTGTGAAGCGAGTCTGTAACTCTTTAAGGCAGAGAAGTAATGCAGTGCCCTGGTCCAGTCTTGTGTGGGACAAATTTTGTATTTGTATTTTTTTAAAGAGAAATAAGAGAGAAAGCTTATCACAATGTTTACATATAATGGTTTACGAGATTAATTAATTATCGATTTGATTATCAGAATTTTTACATATGATGATTTAGCAGTGTAACATTTAGTGGCTAAAATATTGTCTATACTTTATAAAATACCTTACTATAGCTTTTAGGCATGACTAATTTGATATAATAGATTTGAGAACATGTAAAGAGTTATCCTATCTCAAATGTATATTATCTTACATTTAGGTTAAAAACTTAATCTTACTCACTAATTCTCCCACCTCATTTTCATTTAAGTGGTAAACTTCCCCTCTCTCATTTTGATATCTTCATCCCTACTTTTCACTTCTTCAATGTTTCCCTCCCCACTTTTCGTTCTTCTCATTTTGCTTTCCCTCTACAATTTGTCCCTACCAAAATGAAAATCTAATGAGGGAAAGTTCCCTCCAATTCGACCCACCAACATTTCAATTCCTTTAATATTAAGCACGATTTCCATATCTCATAAACCATTGTTTATAATATTAATGTATTGTCTAAATTTTACATATGGATATAAATTAGGATTATTGATTGACAACGACTTACAAATTTTTTCCATGAACCTTGAGTCATATATTTTTTTGTTAAACAAAAATTTTATACTTCACTGAGAATTACGTTGTAATTTTTTATATATATATAAAATTCATGTCTTTTTTTTACTAAATTTTGCTTCCCGTTACATTGCCGCCCAATTTTCTTTTTGCTCGATATATATTGTCGCTCAACTTTTTCATTCCCGCTCCAAAAGGTTGCCCACTATTTGTTTGGATTGATCTATATTGCCACCCAATATTTGGTTGGATTAATCTATATTGCCGCCCAAAAATATTGAGATAAGAAAAAGTGTTTTTCTTCTTTGTTTTTAGAGTGGTGTTTTGTTTGGTTTGCTAATAGTGTCTATTAGTTGAAAATGTTGATATCAACATTACTATTATCTCGTTCACTTTACTAGTTATGATTAACAATATAAAAAGTTTGCAAATCATACAAATTGATTCAATATTTTGACTAGATTTTTTTAAATTAAGTATACATATGAGGTAGAAATGAGTTGGTTAAAAATTGTGAAAAATATTTTAAATTAGCGTAATAAAATGTGTAATTTGGTAGCGAGTAAGGAGTAAGTAACTCGATAGGTTGTCCCGAACAACCCGCAACCTGATCTGCCTGCAACCGCCCGACCCGAAACCCGATGAACCCGCAACCTGATTGAACCCAAACCCGATGAACCCGCAACACAAATAACCCGCAACCCGATTGAACTCGCACCCTATTGAACCCAAATCAATGAACCTGCAACCCGATGAGCCCAAAACCTGACTAACCCGCAACCCAATTGAACCCGACCCAAACCCATCGAACCCGCCCAATTGACACCTATAAACACATTATTATCACACATCAGTCAATTCAATGAATACATACTATCACATTATTCATTCATCACATAAGAGCATCCTCGCCTTTCGGCTTTCCGAATCCCATATTATAGCCTGTTAGGCTATCTCTAATGATGCCACCATAGCAAGAGAGGAGTTTATCAAATTGACCCTGGAAGTGGGTGCATATGTCAATAATGATGGCTCAATGCGTCTCGAACTGGGAGAACAACTGCTTAAGAATCTCACAAACACGTCTGACATCATTGGTGGGCAAAGCCTGTGCTTCAGCCCACCTAGAGACGTAATCAACAACAACTAGGATGTACAGATTACCAAAAGATGGACGAAATGGGTCCATGAAGCGATACCCCGGACATAAAAAATTTCACAAATAACAAACACATTATGGGCCATCTCATCCAGGGCAGAAATATTACCTGACCTCTGGAATTGGTTACACTAGCGTGCGAAGGCGTCAGCGTCCTTGAAGAGCGAGGGCTTGGTGTCGACCTTGCTCATCAGGTATCTGATGGCGGAGTGATCCTTGTGGACTACACACGTGACATAACCAGATAAGGAAGGAATTTGTCGAAGGTGAACACCACAGCTAGCAGCTTCTTCTCTGTGGTGGTGTAGTTCTCCTGGACATCATTGAGGTTCTTTGATGCATAATATATTGGCCGAAAGTGCTGATCTCGCCTCTTTCCTAGGACAGCTCCAACCACGAAGTCACTCGCGTCGCACATAAGTTCAAATGGTAAGGTCAAATCAAGAGTGACCATGATAGGAGCATGAGTGAGCTTCTCCTTCAAGGTCATGAATGTTGTTGTGCACTCGGCAGAGAAATGGAAGGGGGCATCCTTCTCAAGAAGCTTCATCAGGGGCAAGGCGATCTTCGAGAAGTCCTTGATGAAAGGTCGATAAAAATCTGGAGATCTTATGCCCCAACACTATTCCTTCTCGAACCATAAAGTGACATTTCTCTCAACTCAGTGCCAAGTACGTCTCCTCACATCTTTTCATGACGAGTTTTAGGTTATGGAGACAGTGACAGAATGAGTCTCCATAAACCGAGAAATCGTCCATGAACACTTACATGATTTCTCTGACCAAGCGTTCAAAGATGGCGAGCATACACCTCTAAAATGTGGTGGGGGCGTTGCAAAGCCCGAAAGGAATCCGGAGGTAGTCAAATGTACCAAAATGGCAGGTGAAGCTGGTCTTTGCCTGGTCTTCTCGCGCTATGGGGATCTCAAAATACCTGGTCATCCCATCCATGACATAGTAAAACTCATGGCCCGCCAACCTCTCAAGCATCTATTCAATGAATGATAGAGGAAAATGATCCTTTCTTGTGGTGTCGTTGAGGCAGCGATAGTCGATGCAGACGCGTTACCCAGCCATCGTTTTCATCTGTATGAGCTCATTCTTCTCATTCGGGACCACAATCATCCCGCCCTTCTTAGGCACTACATGAATGGGAATGATCCACTCACTATAAAAAATGGCGAAGATAATTCCTGCATCCATCAACTTGATAATTATTGCTTTGATCAAGGCCTCCAGATTCGATGTCAATCTCCTCTGGGGCTGTCTCACCAATTGATTATCATCCTCCATCATGATCCAGTGGGAACATAAAGAAGGGTCGATCCCCTAGATATCGGTGATCTTCCATGCCAGATCTCGCTCATACTCCTTCAGTAGGGCCACCAGTCTATTCTTCTGCTCGAGTGTGAGCGTCGACCTATTGATAACTGGAAGGTTGTTCCCCTCCCTAAGAAATGCATACTCCAAGTGAGGAGGAAGGGGCTTCAGCTCTAGTTCTGTTGGCTCGTCCAAAGAGGTGGTAATATGGACCGAGGATGAGATCGACTTGAATGGATTCTCGACCTTCAGGAACTCACCACGCTCTAGCGTTGCCAACTGCTCCTCCAGCTGCAGCTCCTGCGATGCCTTCTCACCTAGAAAAATATAGCTCTCAAGGACATCATTAGTACCCGCACTTGTGATGGCGATTGCGGTTTCAAAATCAGTCATAATGTCACAATAATCCAAGTCATCATGTAGGTGAGAATGCTTTGCATTATCAGACACATAAAATATAGCTTGTTCATCCCCAGCCTTCAAAATTAATTTGTCACTATGCACATCAATCAACGCCTTGGCAGTGGCAAGAAACAATCTACCCAAAATCAATAGCATATCCACAATCTCATTTATGTCCAAGATAATAAATCAACAGGATATGTGAATGCACCCACATTAACAAGAAATTCCTTAATGATACCCCCAGGATGCACAATCGATCAATCAGCTAACTGAATACTCATCCTAGTTGTTCTCAGTTCACCTAGGTCTAATTTCTTAAACAATTTATAGGGCATGACATTAATGCTAGCGCCTAGGTCCGTCAAGGACTTTCCTACATGCATTGCTGCCAATACCAAGAGGGATAGTAAAACTCCATGGGTCTTTCTGCTTCTCAGGTAGCTTGTTTTGTAGGATTGCAGAACACTCCTCACTCAACATCACTGCTAATAGATCCCCAAGTTTCTTCTTATTGGTGAGGAGATCTTTCATAAATTTTGTGTACTTGGGCATCTTCGATAGTGCTTCCACGAACGGTATACTGATGTTGATCTGCTTCAACATTGCCATGAACTTGGCAAACTGAGTCTCCAACTTGTCCTTGTGCATACGAGTGGGGAAAGGAAGCTGGAGAACATGCTCCGTAACCACTAGCTGTGTTTTGGGAGCAGGCGCTTCCTTCTCAATCTCCACTTCGTCGTCTTCGGCAGGAAGTGCTGAAACAGGTCTCGGTTCATCATGCCTGACTAGAGCAAGAATTACATTCATCGTCTTTCCACTTCTCATAGTAATGACATCCAGCTCCTGGTGAAAATCTCTAGGATGTGGGATGATGTTAGCAGATAGAGTCCACGTTACTCTAGTGGCATTTAGGGGTGTTCAAACGGATCGGTTACCGTGGTAACCATATTAACCGGTAGCATTCGGTTAATTTGGTTTGGTTAATTTGGATAATTGGTTTGGTTTGGTTAAACAATTTAGCTTATTTGGTCTAGGTTGTTTGATTCGATTTCAACATTGCTAACCAATTAACCAATTAATGATACACCTAATATACAAAATTATTTATACTTCCATGCAACCAACCAAACCAAACTTTCGTGATTCCCTATTTTATTTCCAAGTGCACAACAAATAAAACATTATGGCTCAAAAATTAAATGGGTCTGCCTATTTACTAAACTAAAATATTTTGTACAGCTACTAGACTTTAGGATTACGTCCAATACCATGATAACCATCTCAAACTCTGATGAGACCCTAGATGAGTCTTTTAGATAAGAATTGCGCAGCCAAGAGTTGCTTCAAGAACAAATCTTCCTCGAACTAGAACATGGTAGTTTCGGGTAGGGTTTTGATGGAAGATTTCGTGCGATTCTCACATGGGAGAAAGGTTCGATCTCTGTGGTAGAGGCTTGTCCACGCAGCAGGAATAGCTGTTCGATACAAGCTAGCAATCGCTTAGAAATCCACTAAGCAATCAACCTAATTCATCAAGCCAACAATCAAGATGAACCAAAGTTAACTTTGTATTCGACTGTGCATAAAAACGTCAAACTTACAACGATTACTTGAACTTAAATAGACTCAGACAAACCCTAGCAAACCACAAGATTCCTTGACTCAACACAACTCGAAATACACCAAACAAACTCGAAAAACGAATCAAAACTCAAAACAGACTAGTAATCCTTATCCGATAAGGATTCGGATTGATTGGTTCCAATGGCAGGAAAAACAGCTTCGATTTGATCTTTGGAGCTTTCGTTCGAAGTCTTCTGATCATAAATTCAGTCACCCAATGCCTTGTCGTTGTAGTATGAAACTTGTACTTTGATCTGTACAAATCTCCAGCTTCGACTCCCTTCCATGTGATTTGAATAGTCCCTCAAAGTAGGATGCTCGAACTGGTTCTGACACTTAGCCAATTTCTGACAGACTTCTAGTTTCTCCATAGCATTTTGGGAGGCTTGAAAGATGACCCTTTTGGCTTCTTCTTGAGCTCCAAAATACTCCATCTTATAAAGCATCTCCCAAGCTTCAAAACAAACCCTCCTACGTCCATTTCCATCGAAGCATTGGAACGATTCACCCTCGCAAAGTTAGCACCCTGCACATGAACAAATACTTAGCCGAATTTGGAGATCTACTTTGACAAATGATCTTGCTTCTTCTACAAACAATTGTGGCTTGCAGAGTGGGCGATATGGGATCATATCAAACTATGTATAGTTTAAGATTTTTTTAGGAGAGCTTTAACTTCCTGATGAGTGGTATTGGTATATATTTAATATTCATGCTAAGGGTTTGCTGTAAGCTAATTATATTAGTTGCAGAGATGATGAATGATATATTAACTCGAATGATGATGATAATCATGGATGGTTAGTCTTATTATTATTACTTATATATAATGATAGTTTATGATAGTAACAACATATGGTTATATTTTATTTATTAACAAGATAATTGTTTTCATGTAATGTTATGTTATTTGGTTAGTCCGATTATCCGATTAACCAGACCCATTAAACTTTGGTTTGGTTAATTTGGTTTTCGTGTTAAAATTTGGATGGTTTGGTTAATGGGATTTAGGCTTAATTGGTTTGGTTATTACCACGGTAACCATTTGAACACCCCTAGTGGCGTTGTGTTGGGCTATGCCCCCAATATGGTTCTTGAGGTCCTGCAGAATGGGATTCTGGTTCCTCTGATCCGCCTCCAGTTCATTGAATTTACCTATTGAGAAATCCATGAACTAGTTCATCTTGGCAAACTTCTGAGTACTGGTACTCACGAAGGTCATCACCAAATTTCCCAACTCGGATATCTGGTCACCCTATGTTGGGGTTGCTATCAACTGTTAAATTTGTCGCTATTGCGGCTGAAAAGGTTGCCCCTGTCTGGGCTGCAATAGCTGTTGTTGTTGGAACTAACCCGGTTGGGTCTGTTACTGCTTCTTCTAGGAAAAGCCAACAGTCGGTGCTACGATGCCAGGAGTAGAACTGGAAAATTACAACCCGACCCGATCCAAAACCGCCCGAAAAATGGAAGTTTTTATAACCCGAAATCTGAATGAGCCAAACCCGATTAACTCATGATTTTTTAGGTCGGGTTGGGTGGGTTAGCAGGTCGACCCTTTAGACCCATTTCATTTCATATGTAACTCACAAAATGATAAAATCATTCATAAATTGGAGAGATTATTAAAAAAAATTCACAAGGATTTGAAAGACAAGTTTGGAGTTTAAGGATAGTCAAATATCATATGTTTCTTCTAGTCGTATTACTCTTTTGATTATTTTTTGACGAATTGTGCAATTTTATTTCATTTCATTTGCATGGGAAGGTTTGAGAATATGTTAATTGACATGTGTTAGGTAAACTATTGCCATGCATAAGTGCAAATTTGTGTTCTTTAAGAAAATATGAAGCATGTTTGATATTTTTTCTAAGAACGATCATAACCCGAAATGACACGTAACCTGCCCAGAAACTGAATGGGTTGGGTCAATATTTGACCCAAAATAAGACAACTCAACATGACCTAGCTCATAACCTGAAACTTCAACCCGAAATTACCCAACCCGACCCGATTGTCAGATCTAACCAGGAGGCTTGGAGTTGATGCTGTTGCTGCCACCCCAGGAGAAGTTGGGGTGCTAGCTCCACCCCTTGTTATAAGTACCGTCGTAGGGGTCGAAGTGCCGAGCATTGGCAATGAAGTCCAACTACTCCTGTGGGGTGGTGAACTCCCGCATGGGCTGACAGTCCTCTACCGAATGGCTGGAGCTCTCGTACCACTGACACTAGACCAATGGAGGTGTCGTCATGCCTCTACCAGGTATGAGGTTGTTGGGCTACTTCAATGTTTGAACCAGCTCTGCCACTTCTCGTTCAATGCCTGATCTAGTCTCCATGGCATGCACACCTCTATCCCTCTCTGGCTCTCTGCTGGTTTGCCCCAAGAATGATCCCAAGAGGCCAAACTATGGATCATCTGGTTCAAGTCTGGCGGGGGTCTTTGTGAAGATGTCTCCACCGGGACACAAAGACTCGATC